TATGCTTTTTTTTTATTTTACAAAGACATGAAAAAAAAAAACTATTTGGTTAGACAACTGTTTTGCTCAAAATAAGAATTGGTGCTTGTTTTGTTTACATTTTTAATTTTTATGATTAATTCTCAAGAACTTGAAACTATGGTGATAGATATTTTCTATTTTCAACCAGGCCATAGTTTTATGTATGCTGATTCATTCCACCATCAGGTTGAACTTTCCATGAAACAAATAGGTAAAATCTACGACTTGAATGATTATTATGAAAAATCAATAAAGAATTCAAATAAAGGCCATGTGAATGTTAAAATATTAGATGGCAAAGATTTTTTTTTGGAAGTCAGAATGCTCTATTTATAAAATAAAAAAACAAATTAATCGTCCAATGTTTAATAGCATAGTACAAATAAGAACAGAAAGAGGACTCAAGTACTTATTATATTCTTGTACATATGATGAGTATACTCCATTAAGAATGCTAGACTTTTTAAAACCTCCATGTTTAAAAAAAGATTTTGTAAGACCACAGCAAAAAAATTAATTAAGGGACATTAAACCAGAAAAAAAACAAAGTATTATACAAACACTAGTCCCGTTTATGCCTAAGAGCAGACAGCAATTTTGGTATGATTTTCCTACATTAGATTCAGTCAATGACTTATATGAAAAATCTAAAAATTAGAAACTGCTATATGAAATTTTATAATGTGATATATTGTGATAAGAACCAATTATTGGTATAACATATTTAAGTATATTATATACTTTATTATGTTACCATTAATTAAAATTTTGTTTTGTTTTATTTTTAGTATTTTATACTAATTGTTATTTTATTATTTAAAATTTAATTTATTTTAATTGTTTTTAGTGATGACCAATTAAAAGGTATGCTTATTGTTTTATTTCGTTTTTTAAAAATTTAATAGGCTTTAAAGTAAAAGTCTAATTGTTTTGTAATAATTTTTTTATAATAAAAATGATTATTTGTTTGATAAAATTTGAGTTACACGTTTTTTTTACAAACGAATAATGTTGTATGATCATAGACTTAATTAAAAAAGTCCAAAAAAGTCTAAGTAATAATCCGGTAAGTCCACTTTTATGGAGTTATCAATTTTTTGCTTAGTATTCTGATATTAATTTTATGTTAAGTCCATTTTCTCCTTAAAAAACTCAAAAAAGTTGTAATAAAAAGTAATCAACCAATGTAAAATTAGATACATCAGCACAAGGTTTGACCGATTTTTTGTAAAAACACCATTTTTAGGCTTGATTTACCGTTAAAAATGTTTTTTGTGTTCCAGAAAAGTCATGTTGACTGGAGTTATCCTGTTTTCGCTTAGCACGGCAGTATTAGTATTTGTAAATAAATATACAAATAATACATATCTTAAAGGGATTGAAAGTGAAGTCTCATAAATAACATTGTTCAAAATAATATTAAATATTTTTATAACTAAAACTTTGATTTATATAATCGCATATAAGTAATAGTTGATTTTCATTAAATTTGTTGCCAATAATAATATACGAAAAAATAAAATTGTATTAGGTGATAATTATCCTTTTAAATGACATCTCGCTAGATATTGTCTCATTGTCTATTGAAAAATATAATTAAAAGAAATAATGACTATCATTTCTCTTTCATAATTATTTTGTTTAAGATATAGCAGATAAAAAGTTTTGTGATATAAAAATCATTTTATATTATCTTTTTTGAATAATATATTTCACTGCAGCTTATCATATCACAGTGAAAAGAGGATTACAATGAAGGCTTGACATTAACCACAAATCTGAGATGACTTTATCTTGCAATTTATAGATATAAAACATGTAAAATAGAATCTTTAAAAAAATGTAATTTAATTTTATAAATTAAATTATTATTAAGTATATCTTTGTGTTAAATTCATTTCTAAAACTACTTAAAAATTGAATTTTTCTTTGCGACTATATGTATTAATGTATCACAAGTAAAGTATAACATAATAATAAAAATCATTGTATTAATTTATTAATATATAAATGAATCCTAGTTCTTTTTAATTCCAAGGGAATTCTGGTGAGTTCCAATATTTTAGCTTCGATCAGAAGCTGAGAAGGTATTGGTTTTACTATGAGGTGTTTTTTTTTTTTTTGTTTGTTACCACTTTTTCTCAGCTCTCGCCGAACGGATATTTTTCAACGATACGCCAAAAGATCACAAATCGTATCTAGTTGAAGACATTACCCTCAAAAATTGAAAAAATTTCCCTCGTTCGCCGTAAATGGGAAAAACCTACAAAAAAATTACAAATTTAAAAATTGCTAATTTTCAATTTTTTTTTCTTAAAACTGCCATTACTTTTTCAAAAATGAACAAATCAATATAATTTTTTTTTTTATAGATGCTTAATGTCTTTACCTATCATTTGGTATATTTTTTTTATAAATTTAACCCTTTACCTGCCCACAGGGGGGGTTTCAAATAACAACTTTTTCACATAAAATTAACTTTTTCAATTTAACTTTTGAAATTTCCGGAAAGTCTAACATTTTTATAAATTTCTTAAATTAAAGCTAATGTAATGTACTTTTTTATTTAAAAAAATTTCGGACTTTATTTTGTCTTCACGGTGAAAATGGCTACCAAATGCTATTTTTGTGTGAAAATTCTTGATTTTATATTTTACATTTTTAACTTTAGAATGTTATAACTTTTTGAAAAATGTATGCATCGACACAATTTTTTTATGAGAAATAATATTTTTTAATAATCCCATTTTTCATTTGACATGTTTTATCTTAATCAGGATATAAATAAGGAAATAGCAGATCATGTAGCTTTTAGAATAATCCACCAATTTTTTATTGTATTTGAAAAATTAATTTTCAAAATTTTGTAACCTACCTCGTTTTTTAAATGAGTTGTTCACTTGTAAAATTTATGATTAGAAAATAGTCTAGATGTGAATCTAGCCATATTTTTGTGTTATCACGCCTAATACACGTGTGGATTTGCGTTTGAATTAGAGTATAAAGTATTATACATCATAAAATATTTTTTCTTATTCATGTCTTGTTTTAAATATACTACTAAAATGTAAAAGGTTTGCTCTAAAAATGAGGTTTATTTTTATTTTAGCTCTACAGTTGGAACATTTGTTGTTCTACGTTCGCGTCGCGTAAAAAGAAACTAAAAATTAGAAAAATTTATCTGCACGCATTATTTGTTAAGTAATGTAATTCATGAATCTACAAAATTGTGTAACGTGTAATAGGAAAACTATTTAATTCTCTTAAAATCATAAAATATGGAGTTGCCCTTTTTCTTGAAACAAATTCTCTAGTCGTTAAAATTTGTGAGGATCAGTTTAATATAAAACGATTTGTAAAATCCCGTTGTGTTTTTTAAGTGTGTATGTGATTTTTGTGAAATGATAAGTACTAAAATTATAATCATTTATAAACACGTATTTCAATTTTCATTTGTCGCAGTTTGGTAGGGATTTTAGTAAAAGTATTTAATGTCGGTCGTTTATATATCAAACATGAATTATTTCATTTCACAACGTGCGACCATCGAATTTTGTTTTAAAGTTGAAATATCAATTAAAAATGCATTCGAAATACTACAAAAAACTACGGCCAGACGTGTTTAAAGGAAACAGCTGTTTATGAGTGGTTTAGTCGGTTTTGATATGGTCAGAAGAGTGTGGTTGGCGACCATAGGAGTGGTCACCGTTCGTGAAATTACATGTTCATAAAGAGTTCGTGTTGCATAGTACTACAGGGGTGAGTACATCTTATAAAGGTGTTTTGGAACGACTTTTGAAACGCGTTGTTTGAGTCCACTCAGAAAAATTCATTGATCGCGGTTTTTTCACTTTGCATGACAATGCATCCGCACACAAGGCCGTTATTAACCACCAACAATTCCTGGCTAATAAACGCGTACCAACTATCCACCGTTTTTAAAGCTCAAATTAGATCTGAAAGGGGATAGATTCAATAGAGTTGAGGACATCCATAAAGCCGTAACTGATAAACTGCTATGGCACCGAAGTCAATAATTATTTCAAAATTGGGTGTTAATGGTAATCGTGAACGTTATTTCTGAATATTATTACTTTCTGAATTCCTGGTGCATTATTTTATTCGTGCGTTACAATCTGCTTACCTTTTCGGTAACAAAATTTCTATAAAAAATTTAATGATTACCTCATAAATTCCTGGTACTAATCCGTTCACGTTATTCACCTTAATAGTCTTTTAACTTGAATTGCCTATACACAACTCCTTAATGTAACATAGTGTAATTCAATAGATTTTTACAATATATATAATATTAAAGTGTAGTGAATCAAACATATCCTGGTGTTGGATGGCATTTTTGATATATTGTTAATTCTATATTAATCTATCATTATGTAATTATAATATATTATTACCATTCAATGGTATTCTGGCGTACACCTTAGAGGAATAATACTTATGTACTATTTATATTGTAAGAGGTATAGACTCTCAAATCAGTGTATTACATTAAAATAAAAAAAAAAGTTTTTTTGCTTTTACAACACCACTGTTAATACTATAAAAGCACACTAAGAATTATCAGTAATTAAACATGATCGATGAATATTTTTTTTTTAATATATAATTTTATGCCACCGCCATAATTTTTGGAAAAAATCATATGTATATATATTTATATATATATATACAAATAGTTTATAACTTTTCGGGTATCCATTATACTGATGTAATTATTGAAGGAAAATGGATGACAGATTTTTGAATTTGATATTATATGGCTAAGATTCATTGATGTTAATTTAAAGGGCCAGAGAAAAAAATGTCTATGTAAATATTCTGATGACAAAATTTAAATTACGTTACTCATTCTGATATCAAAGGCGTGCAGGGGTAGGTTAGGCAATCCGAGTATGCGTTTTTATGATACCATGACGGACAATAGTAAAAGCTATTTATAATCGACAAAATGGTTTTATAAATTGTTCAGCAGGTACTTTATTAATTTTAAATAATTATACAATATCAATTACATTATAACGTTAATTAAAGTCAATTTCACAAATAAAAAATGTATGTACATTATTTAATTCATTTACTTGATTAAATAAAATAAAATATAAAATCCCAGTTAGAAATTAGTAGACAATTCAAGTAATTAAATAATTCATAGTTAAATTAATGTAATTTTTTAGTAAGTTTTAATATATTTCAAATTATAATGCACTCAAATGGTACTTCTCTTGTGGGATGCTGGCCAAAACACTCTAAAATAAAGAAAATTTCAAGTAAAACACGTTGATTTACGTTTTTCCATATCATGTCTTATTATAAAAAAAGTTAACAAGTCATTACATTATATAATTATTGAGTATATATAAATTGTACCTATTTCGATTTGATCTTAACAAATACTATCATTTTCATAATTGAACTACAATGGTATATATAATAATTTATGCTTACTTTGTTCACATCTTGCACCGTAGTATCCAGTGCCTGAACATCTACACTTATAACCGGGCTCTTGTGAAGTTTGTACACAAACTCCGTTATGATGACATGGATTTTGAGAGCAAAAATCGTGTCGCCCACCTAAGCAAGACAAAAAATTTATTTCATGATCATAAATAAAAATTATTTGTGTTAAAAAAGCAAATTATTTTATATATTTTAGTTATTTGTAAGTTACCTTTTAAAGCTTTACGGCATTCGTCATAGTTGCTGTAGCGATATTCTGAATAGCAACCTACGCCGCAAAGACACTTATTTTCTTGTATTCTACACCCTTGCCGAGTCTGATCACAAGCTTGAAGTATGGGTACAGCTGAAATTATGCAAATCAGATATGTTTTATCTAATAATTTTCTATTATATATTTACCCAAAGAAAAAGTTTCAAGTTGGAAATTTAAAATGTTGATCATTTCAAATAAATAAAATTAATAACCTTTTAGCGAATTGTTATTTATATCACTATAAATGTGAAAATGTCGGCAATTTGGTCGGAATAATTTTAGCTTAGATTAAAGTTTTTGCGAAAACGTTCATATGATTTTTTGCTTGGGAATAGAGGGTTGAATGCTTATAAATATTGATGTAATAAAAGAATATTCTTGAGGAAATTATCTTGGTTACAGGACAAATATTTACATATCGTTGCATTTCTATGGCTTTTTAATATTTTTGCATTTCTATGGTTTCTCAGTAATTTTGCATTTCTATGGCTTCTCAATGTTCTTGCATTTCTATGGATTCTTAGTTTTTTACATTTCTATGGCTTCTCAATGTTTTTGCATTTCTATGGCTTCTTAGTATTTTTGAATTTCTATGGATTCTTAGCGTTTTCTTTTTCTATGGCTTCTCAATATTTTTGTATCTCTAGCTTCTAGATTATATTTTGCAATTAAGATTTGATCATACATTATAAAGGCATAATTGTTACATATAATGCTCTATATAAAGATTTGCTATATACACTAATTATTTTTATAATAAAATATTAAAAAAAAATTGACATTATTATAATGAAACCATACTACAATTATTAAAACCCCTTTTGAATCGATATTATACAAGTACAGGACCCATAATTTACATATTTTGGTTAAGGGAAGTTAAAATTTACTCATAAATTTAAATGAATTAAAAAAATTGTCGTGAGAGATATTTGATCCCATACCTTATGATCCGTTTAATTATTATAATTATTTGACTATTTTTGATTGGTATAAATTGAGAAATCATCTAGAAAAAGTTTTACTTTAACTATTGCTCTAAAAAAGTTATCTGCAGTTTGGTTAAGAAATAAGTTCATAATTAGCCAACATAACTAAGATTTTGGTTATGTTTTTAAATTTTTTATTAAATAATTAATGAATAAAAACATTAATAACAATAATAATAGCAAAAACCAGTATATGGTGATAGGGGGAAGTGTAACTCTTTGCCGTCGAGAAGCAAATTTATTGCACACTTTAAGGAGCCAAAGATTTTTATGAAACACCATGTATTATGTATAAATTTAATGCCTACAAATTACAATAATTGTTATGTTATACTCCTAAACAAAAAAAATATGTACTAAGATTTTTTTGCTCAAAGGGGCGCCTAATTACATAGGCTAATTTTGGCTTATAAAATTAGCCAAAATTAAATAATCATAAGTATTATTATATAAAGACATAATTTAGGATGAGAGGAAAATATTAAGATACTATTAAGATTAGCACTCAAATTTTTTATTCTATTTCCGATGAATTTTATTAAAATTCATTACTTATCAAACTATATATACCGTTAAAGTTGTATTGACTTAAGTTTTTAAATTAAAACATATTGGTTTAATCAGCTTATATATATTTATATACATAAATAAAACTTTAGAAACAAATAAAAAAAGCCTACTTGTGTTAAATTCTTACTTTCTTTGTAATATTTTAAAATAATTATTATAAATATTTAATTAAGTTTCATAATTTAAAATTATGATTAAGATTTCAAATAAAATATTGCTATTGCACGTGTCGGCTTTTTAATGATTACATAATACACATTATATTTTCTTTGTATGGTACTTTTATACTGTTTTCTATACAGAGTGTTCAGTAAGTCAGGAAACGGGTTTCTATTGTTCTCATTGTTACAAACAATTGTTTGTAACAATGAGAACAATAGAAACCCGTTTCCTGACTTACTGAACACTCTGTATAGAAAACAGTATAAAAGTACCATACAAAGAAAATATAATGTGTATTATGTAATCATTAAAAAGCCGACACGTGCAATAGCAATATTTTATTTGAAATCTTAATCATAATTTTAAATTATGAAACTTAATTAAATATTTATAATAATTATTTTAAAATATTACAAAGAAAGTAAGAATTTAACACAAGTANTATGAAGTAAGTAACAATAATTTTGCATTTTAAATAGAATATTTTTACAATTAAATATTTTAAAAACTATTTTTATTTTAGAGCATTTATCATTTAGCTTTTCAATATTTAAATAGGTTTTCGATATAATTTTGTACACTCAAGAATTATCATAAATGAAACAAAAATGTATAGGAAGTTAGATAATTATTATTTATTCTATTTATAATAATATTATTTGTAATATGTAAATATTTATAAACTAAATTATTATTTCAAAACTTATACATAAAAAAAAGGAAACCATTAGATGTTAAGTTTCATTTTAATCCATAATTAGATTTCTAGACAAGAATATATAAATTAAATTTTCTAAATTCTGCAGAAATTAATGATAAAATTTCAGAATACCTTAAATATTTTTCGGGTAATCTCTTGTCGAATGATAACTCTAATTAAGCATTCTTAAATTAAGATGATTTAGGTTGAATAAATTTGTTTCCTTATATTTTACGATGAAAATATATTAGAAAAAGAAATAATAGAAATATAGTTCTTTATATAAGTTTGAATAGTTTAGTACTCACTAAATGTGGCTATTAATAATATTGGAAATAATAAAGGTGTTGTATCCATGTTGATGTAGGCGGTACTAGATATTTGAGGTTTGTATGGAGCTCTACCTAGCAAAAGTAAGTCTGGTATCTTTAAGAGATCCTTTCCATAGACTACAGTTGGAATCCAAAATATATCCTGATCAGCTGGACTAGAAGTTTTAAAGAAACCTCATACACGTACGTCACACTTCCTATTCAATGGCAATGCGTCGACCGCTAGGCAAATGTTGAACACATGTGCAGCAGTCTTATATCTTGTTAAACGCTACTGCCTACCACTGCTATGTTGAACATTGAAATGCATCTCTCTTTATGTTATTATTAAAATACACTTGCACATATGTGAATTGATGTACCATGTAACGTTGTTCAATATAATTTTATACAGATCATTGTTATCTCCTTGCGATTCCAAATTATGTATCATTGACATTGCTGTTTATCTTTCAAATGCGTATTCTTTTTTTTTTTTCATACACATAATTTTATACATATATAAACTTAAATTACTTCCGGTACTATATCCGTGTAGTCAATGAACTCTACATGATAACATATGAAGTATACAGAGTGATTCTTTTATCATTGACCAATTAATTAATCGAAAATTAAACATAATATTGAGAATTTTACTTTTGATTTCTTTTAGTTACATATTTTAGTTTAAAAACTTTCACTTGAAATTTTTTACCTAATAAACGAGTAAAGCAAACAGCATAATAATTTTGCGGGTGCTAAATATAACTTCCCCCTTGAAAACATTTTATTAACCATAAATGTAATTTTAAACATTTTCGGGGGTGCTAAGCTTCCCCCAGTAATCTTCAAATTGCGCTTACACCTTATTTTTACAGAAAAAATAATTGTATTATAATCTAAAATTGAATGATTTATAGTTAATAGCGTAACTTAGTTTATTTTAATTTAAGTTACTTAGTCCTAGTACTTATGTTTGATTATTATAATAATAATAGTATATATATATATATATATATATTATTATTAATGGAGCATATTAAAGAAGCATTGTAGATGGCATTTTTGTAATTAATCAAAACTTAAGAGGCGATGAAATTTAAAATAATTATGTTTATTAGTGGGAGATATCAGACTTAAAATTTTTTATACAAATATGCAATGTTCAAAAATTATAAGTTTTTATAAATTACTAATCTAGTATCTAATGTAGTAATAAAATATAGTACCGTAAATCAAAAGAATAGGCAACTAAGTTTGCAACTAAGTATTAGGGAATTTTGAATAAAGGTTAAATTGTATAAATTTTAAGTTGTGTATTCACTCTAACATTTCTATTTCAACATAATTTCGTTGTTTTGTTTATAGTAAAATTGGACAATTTTACTTTATTTTAGTTAAGAATCGATGTTTCTCAAGCTTTTAATTGTGTTTGAAACAATGAATTTACTTTTTAAAATAAAAGAAATTCTTAATAATAAATAATACTTATTAGATCATTTATAGGAAACCAAACGTTCGTAATTCGATCAAAAATTTTAACTCTTCTGTTTTTGAAATCAAGGATGAAGACCCCCAAGGCGGTGACTTTCACCATTACTCTATATCATATATACTTTAGATAACCAGCCTACAATAGCACTGTATTGACCAGATTTGCTGGTGGCACGCAATACTAGCCGTACACAAAGATCCACTTATCACTTCAAGTCATAAACAAAAACATTTAAATTTAATTGAGTCCATGGCACCAAGATGGAAAATTAAAATAAACGAAGAAAAATCTGCACTGGATAACTTAACTCTAAAACGAGACGAATATTCATCACTTAAACTAAATAAAAATGATATTTCTTTACAATCAACAAGAAAATATTTAAATATTTTGCTTGGTAAAGGTTCAACTCTGTCTGATTTGGGGATCCAGAAAAGTTGAGACATGTAAAGATGATATCTGAAAGTGATTAACATCATTATCATAAAAACGCTTCGATGCGATTGTATTAAATTTCACAATAATTTGTATATCTATAATATCACAATATCCATATTTTAATATTTTACTGAAATATTAAATACTCGTTAAATGATTTACCTAATTGAAAATAAATTATATTATTTTTAAATTGCGAATTTCTTTACTTTGACAGGCGACTTCTCATAGTAAAACAATTTGTAAAGTGGTTTTTTTAAAATTAATATTGTAATACACATCAAGACATTTAATTTAATATAGGATTAAAAAACGCAGTAGTTCAGGAATATTTTCAAAGATTGAGTTGAAAAAAATTTGTTTTCAGTGAAAGCTGAGAATTTTTATTGTCAGACATAAAAAACACATTATAGTTATAGTAATATTTTTCAGCTATGCATCGAAACAATAAATATGGTGTAATGAATGTAATGTCTTAGAATGAAAAAATTATAATAAAATTTTATTTGTATCGAAATTTATAAGAGAGGACACAATTGTAATGTATAGAGGTGGATCGAAAAGTATTTAATAATTGGTAAAGCAAAAATTATATATAACTAAAATAAGTAAAAAAAAAAATGTTTTTAATTATTTTTTATTTTTTACGTAATTGACTGTTATGATAAATGAATCCCTCTGTAAATACTCAAACTGTCAGATGTTACAATATTCGTATTTATATACGTTTATGAATTAAATTATTGTTATTATGTAATCACAGATATAAATCTGAAAACAAGAAATCATTAAAGAAATTTTAATGTCATCAAATTCAATTTATAGATATTCAATAAACAATTTGTCATATTTTAAATCCATTTGATGCATAAGACGAAGAAAATTTACTAGTCAAAAAAAAAATTATTTTATACTTTCAATGATGACTGACTATATTATGCTATTATTATATTATCTTGTATATTATTTAGTAGCTCTTTGAATTGAAAATTTTAATGTATTTATTTAAGAGGTTATCACGTAGTAAAAACTTTTTGAAAAATTTGAATTTCTGAAGGAAAACTAAGAGCAGTTGTTATTAGTGTCTATCTGGGACTTGAACTTAAAAATACCAATTTACAAAAAAAAAAAAACAAATCACATTTTAAATAACAATTTTAGAGAAACCAAAAAAAATGGCACAATAATTAAAAAGAGAACTTTCTTTCTAAGACAATTTTAACGACGTTGTCATCACATTTAGTTTTATTGTAGTAATCACTTGAAAAATAAAAACTAATTTTTCTATTTTTATAGATTAGTTCTCATAATTATACAATATTAGTATTAGTTTTTTAAAATTAATATCAGAATAAATATTATAATAATTTTATATTCCTATTTTAATTCAAATAAATATATTTATATAATTAATAAATATATTTTGGTTTTTTATATTATGTTCCTGAAATAATGTTTTGTGCAAAGTTCTATTTTATCTGATGTAAGTATTTTAACATAATACAGTTTATAATAATATAGATTAGTAATTAGAAAATCTTGCATTCAGAGGAAGGTAAAAAAACGCTTTATCGGGTATCTTTTAAATATGCCTTTATTGTAACAATTTTATGATAGTAATTAACATGTTTACAAAATTGTTACAATAAAGGCATACGTAAAAAATATAATAATTATATTTTTGTAACAATTATTTTTGGCGACAAATATTGTTGCTAATCAAAGTTTTCAAATTTTCATAATTATGAAAATTTGAAAAATTTGATTAAAACTAAACAATAATTATTATTGTTTAGTTTTATACATAGTTATAAATTGTAAACAAACGTTCGTGTAACTAAATGAATACAAATATTTTAGAAAAGGGGTATATTTAATTTAGCTACACTTTGAACTAAATTTATTTATTTATTTTATTGGATTAATTTTAATATTTCAGGAGAAAATTTTATATCATAATTATTTCTCCATTGGAAATTATAAATTTACTATTAATACAATTGATGGTATACTGGATTATCAACCATAAAATAGGTTATGATTATCTTTACGTTATTTAGTGGACATAAAACTTCAATTATTAATTTTAACTGTTTAAGCATCTAATCAAGACAACAATGATACATGGTATTAAATGAATTATTTTCTATAAATAATTTCTTACTCAAAGTAGAGTTATGGTGTTTTCTTCTTTTAATTAATAAAAATACTGTCATTAAAGGATGACTAACATGAATATAACATAATGTAGTTATAAACCGTATAAATATACTATAAGTAGGTATATATCTAAAAAATACTACTTTGATCCTTTCTTAACCTTGGATTAGCTACTAAATATAGCAGAATAATATCTAAATAAAAATATACATACAGAAAAAATTAAAAAAATAAAAATAGATTATTGTAAGACTTTAGGTCATTTATGTTATACTCAATATTAGTTAGGTATCGATAAAGCAATTTATATTTTTTTATAACTATTTTTAAATTTATAAAAACTTTCTATATTTTTAAAATAAAATCCATGTATAATTTTGCTTTTTAATCATCTCTAATATAAAACTTTGTTTTAAAAGTGATTTTATTAATTACTTATTACATTATTTTAATATATAAAGGATATTTAATTCAGTCACCGGCATAAAGTATCAACTTTCTATAATTATTTCTATTATTGTTAAAAATATTTAATATTATTCTAATATATAGATTTACGTACTACCTGATAATAATAGCTCACTATGGAGTAACAGCTATTTAATTTTCCTTCAACCAATAAAAGTTATAATTGTATTATTCGATGGAAAATTGATCTTTGTACTGCTTCTTTGTTTTAAAACAATGTCTAAATTATCAAATTTTTTGATAAATTAGACAACATTTATTAGACTAATAAAAAATATGTCTACCTGTATTATATTTATAATTTAAAATTAAATACATGATTAAGATAATATTGAAAATGTCAAGTATGCTTATTATTTTTATTAAATTTGAATATTTATAATAAATTACTATTATAGATAGTTTAAATGTATAATGAATTTACTATAATATCAAACATTTTTATTGATGTTTAAATATATAGTAATAAAATAGTGTTTTAGGTAGATGATTATCATTTATTAAAAATATATTAATTCTATTTTATACTGTTTTATTAATATAACAAATATCTAGCTTTCAAATACATTTCAAGTTTTTCAAAATTATATGAATTTTGTCTAATAGGCTATTTATTAGCTTAGTATAAAAAATTAAAATCGAACTTATCATTCTTTGGCTGATTGACTGTATTGATATTTTTTCTTTTTAAATAAAATAAGTTTTACAAAAAAGTTCGAAACAAGGTTATCTTAAACAAAAATTGCTAAACTCAGATTTTTTTTCTCAAGAAAATTAATTTTAACACATTTTATTATAGTGCTTTCTAAGAATTATGAATTGCAGATTCAGTGCAAATGTGATTATCTCGACAAAAACAAAGTTATTTATTGATAAATATTTTATACTTATAAATAATTTTAAAAGTTGTATAGGTCATTTTTAATTAAATCATTTTTGTCTATATTTTGTAAAAAAACATTTATTTAGTTAGCTAATTATTCCTTGAAAATAAAATTTTAATAAAAAAGAAAACACATGATTAAATATAACGCTATCAGTCTTGAGAAATAGCTATTTGATATCAATAACGTGACTACAAGTAAACTCTTTATAGTTGTGATTTGTTTACTGTTAAAAATAATATTTTTAAGTTATAATCAAATATTATTGATCAATATAAAATTTTAATTCTATATACATTGGAAATAACAATATGTTTGTCCTATCAATCCATGATTATCGATAAAAGTTTAGTTTCATTGTGAAATGTCTGTTATTTTAATTTGAACAATGTTTGGTTTCTTAAAGTTTATCATCAAGTCTACGCGTAAACAAAACAGTTTTGAATACCAATAAAGCCTTTTAAATTAAAAAAATAATAATTTTTTTTTACTTTTATAAGTTAAGTAAATAAATTTACTTTTTGACTTAAAAAATAACTATGTTCAAGTGTTGACCAAATACTTCATAAAAATTTATTCATGACATTTTTACGTCATTAAAAATAGTTTTTTATTACATAGCAATTAGAGTTTTTTCATAAAAAGAACTTAAACAATAAATAAATAATAAACATAAATCAATAAATGAATATACTTATAAAACATAAATGTATGTACATGGCAAGGTGTGCTGTTTAAAAATAATGTAAAATCGATGGAATGATGGACGGATTATAAAATTATCTAGTTTGGAATATATTCGGATATTTCTAACAAATTTTGGCAGGTTTAGGGATTAAATAATTACAAATAGCTTTGGGAAAATTGTGTTCTGCATTATATTGATCGATTTTATTAAAAACCTGAAAGAAAATTTAGTTAATAATAATTGATTGGCTTTTGATAAATAAAACTACAAATTAAAAGTATAAACTTTAAAAAACATATTTGGTATCAGTACTTACTCCATTAAATGTAATTAAAGGCACCCAAGATAATCTTGGGATAAGAGAACGTGTTCTGTTTCCATAATGGGCAAGAAGTTCACTGCTAAAATCATCGTTTTGAACACAATCTTTTATTTTTTTATACGACTGTAATAATCCTAATTTTTTTGCACACTGAAAAATAAATAAATTAAAAGTAATAATTAAAAAAAAATTATTAGTATTGAATTTAATAGACAAAAAAATCAAAATTTTATGAACTTTGATAATTTATTATTAAAATTAATTGTGTGATTTGGCGGCAAGCAAAAGAATTATTTCTATTGAAAGAATGTGTTCATTGCATATTTATTCATTGACTAATAATATAATAACTTACTAGGTAAGCAGAATGTGTTTTTTTTACAGAAGTCATATAACATGTGAGATACTGTGCTAAACATTTAGGTTTAGATGGTAATACGTTAATAGCGCAAGCTTGCCATTTATTATCAGAACATTCCAAAGGGCCGTGTTGGCAGGTAAAATTCCATTTTCCTTCTGATTGGGTTTGCTATAACAATTCAAAAATCAAGTAAAAAATGTATTACATTTATTTTGAATTTTATTGATTATTGTACTGATTATTTCCAATTTTTATTCATTTTTTTAATAAAATGATCAAATTTGTATTATTTTTCAGGCTATTTACTTTTTTAAATTTTCATTATTTAAATGATTTTTAATTTTATTGAATTTATTAATTGAATTATTTCGACTTATTTAATAGGTTTAGAAAAACGTAACCGTGGTTTAGTAGTATTTCAATAAAACATAAAAAATGTTTTTCCCTAAAAATAAATTTTCAAAACAATACGTTTCACTTAGCATTTCACTTATGATTTATGCCTTTTTCCCCTACTCTAAATATGATTTTAAATTAAAGTAAATTACTGAAGCTATTTATTTTGTTAATATAATCAATAAAAAAGTAATGTGTAATAAAATAAAAAATTAACTTAATTAATCATCCAACTTTATTTACTTACATTACAGTTTCCGTAGGGCACAAAATCTAAATTTAAGTACTTGTAAAATTTCTCCAAATTTGGTTTCAATTGATTTGTAAAGAAGTTAATACAATCTGGACACAGACTTTCATAGTATATAGAAACAGTAACCCTCTAGAAAAGTTTAAATTTATACATAAAAACTTATTTAGTAAATTAAAGTTTAGCTGACGATAAAGATGATATTACCCGTTAGCATACTATATTGTTAGAAGGTTGAATAATTAAAAAAATATTTATGTTAGTTTGAAAAAGCTTAAACTTTCTACAAATGTTTACTCAAATATATTTATCTAAAAATTATACATTAATAGACGTGTGTTACTTACAGGGACAGAGTTTTGATTTTGATTTTCTATGTTGGGCCAATCATATAACGGTTTTGGTATGGTTTTGAACCCTGTTAAACTCGACAATTCGGCTCTGATCACTAAAATATATACGGAAAATAAAAAAAAAACTTTAAAAAACATTTTGAAAAATAGAACGTACACCGAATCACAATCGTTACGTCCGATTGTTTCACAGGAGATTGATTAATGAAATTTATTAATGAATTCACTGACTGTCCTTACTTCTTTGTCGATATTATCAGTGTTTCAATTATAATGAGATATTTAACAAATCAATACAGATGAATTTACACTTTAACTCATTAGTTTATTTCACTGATTAATAGATATTTAATTACTTTATCAGAGAAATAAAACGCTATGTTAAATGCATATCATTTCTTTCTGTAAATTTATATTAAGCATGTTTTACTATACATCGCGTGATTAAATCGAATGATTATTTATTCTTTCCATATAACACCACCAGAAAAATTTGTAAATGTGATTATTTTTTTTCAACAGAGGTCATAAAAACATATTTTTTCATATAAAGAGTAATTCATTTATAACCACTTAATGAATCAAAAAATTTAAGTAAACGTTTTTTTATAATTTATCATGAAGTATCTTTTAGAATAATTCCTTATACCATATAAGGTTGTCGAATTTATTTTTTCAAATGGAAATATACATAATAAACGTAAATTATATGATATTTTATCCTTTGCCACTTAATAAATAGAAAAATAACTGTTTTAATGAGAATTTTTAAATTGTTAATAACTTCCGAAATAGTTCAATAGTTGCTAACGATATTTTCTTATTTAGATGATTTTCTATTTCTAAACTAGTTAAATATATATGTATGTTGATATTAGAAAAAATTAAGTTGACACCCTTAAAATGTATAAGGAATGACATAAAAATACTACATCATTGATAAATTGTGATAATATGGAACTAAAATAAATCATAAGTAAAATTTTCAATATTGTATATATATTTGGATTAAGTAGTGAATAATAAATAAATCTCTCTGTATACATAGGGACTGGAGAAGTACCTCAAAAATACTGGTTATTGAATCAGAACCTTTTTAATTTTTATAACCTAATGTGGAATATAAATTTTTGTTTTTAGAAAATTCAGTACCGGAACCGTTTTAAAACTTTCAAAAATAAAGGATTTAACTGTTTTTTTTTATAGTGCCATATCATATCATAAAATTTTTTACTACCCCTCAGCAACAAAAAAAAAATTATTTAATTTTGTAATTATTTTCGTTTTAGTAACTTTTTTCTTATTAGGACAAATAATAAAAAATATGTTTTTAACGTAGCCTAAAAATAAAAAATGCAAAAAAAATTTTGAATCAAAAGTTATTGTTGTTATCATATGTTTACAACTCAATCTATATGCAACACATAAAAAATATGAAAATTCAAGAAAATGGTTGTATATGAGTGAATATAGAATGTTGTTTTTATTTATAGATTATTGTACAATTTATGTAGACTGACTAACCACTAAAAATTATTTAACCTTCTTAAAATTGTATTTGTAAGTTTAGACATATTTCAATACTTTATGGAAATTGAAAGAGAAAGTCTAAAAATCTCGATTCGTTAGTTATGTGTAGATAGAAGAAGAATCATTGAAAAAATTAGCGTTTATTGCGTATTAAAAAAATGTTTTTTTATTTTATCCATAATGAATTTTACAAAGACGCTTCAAACATTACATGGGTTATTTCTGAACGAATTTAGAGAAAAAAATTATCAACAAAAACTTTTAATTTTCTGCAAAATATTGTATATACGATATATGATGTTTTCCATATTAATAATAAAATAGAACTACACTTAAAGAATTTGAATAACCATTAAAAAATAACTATGCTTGAAGTTATTTGTCACTACTCATTATAAAAGTATTTCAAGTTGTATTTGCAATAAATAATTCCTGTTTCTCTAAATGACATTGACTGCAATCAAAATGTCGAACATTAATAGTTGAATTAACTTAAGAAATAGTTATACGCAGCAGTGTATACTTTTAAAATAAAGGAAAATGTTTGAAGTACGCAAAAATAAAATACTCCGAAGACAATTAAATAATTTGAGGATTAAAAGTAAACCTATTCAAAAATCAACAAGTATCGCCGATTATTTACGCGAATTTTCATTAATCACCACTTTACACGGCATAGTTTATTTAGGAGAATCTAAAAGACCATTCTTTGAGAGGTTAGTATTGAGTAATAAGCACACAAAAAAAATTAATTAAACTTTATTGGTTTATATTATCATATAGTTTTAGCTCTACAATAAAAATAATGTTAAGGTAACAGTTATTAAAAAAGAATTATTTTGAAATATATATCTAATACATATTTTAGAGAAAATTATTTAAATACAAATACAAACACTTTTCAAAAGTATTCCAAATTTGTTGAAATATTTTTATTTTTGATACAAAGCAGAGAATGTATTAATTTCTATGATGGTTTTTTTTTTATCTCTTACCACTTTTGCTTAGTTTTCAGAGGACCAATTTTTTTCAGCTATACGTCAAATAACTATAAATCGTATCTATTTAAAAAAAACTACAATAAAAAATTAAACAATTTCTCTCGTTCTCCGTAAAAGTGAAAATCCATAAAAGAAAATACTATTTTTGAAATCTGTAAATTTCGACGATAAATTTTTAAAAATATTTTACTTAAATCTGCTTTAACTTGCATCCACCTATTCATATTTTGTGGAAATGTATGTATAGCTTATAAACCCTACTTTTCTTGTCAGGTGGTTTATATTCTGTTCTCTTTATGTTAAGATCTCAAATTTGATAATTTGATACAATTTTAGAAGTATTTCTAAAATTTCTGGTTTATCTCTTTTAGTAACTTATGATGTTCTACGGAATATACCTCTTTTTGTAGGAATCCCTGTTTAACACTCTTAATTACTTTTGTTTTATTGAACTGTCTTAAATGGATCGTTCTTTAAGCATTGTTTTTATCCATTTGACAATAAGTGGTTCTATTCCATACTGTTGTATAGATTAACACATAACATTAAAAGAGTGTATTTTCAAAAGCCCCTAAAAAGTGCAGTAGTATACATATAGAGTGATTTTTTTATCCTAACCTACTCAATTACTCAGAGAATGAAAATAATTTAAACATTATATCTTCTATAGCTTTCTCGACTTCGATGGTTAAATTATATAGAACCCTGTCAATAAATTTCCCTGTTTGATCTGCATGTTGGTTCTTATGTAGAGGGCCCTCTTTTAAGTATCTGTTAATAATTTTCTCTATATTATTAAGAAATAAAAGAAGTGAAACTGATTTGTCTGTAGGATTTTGCTTTATAGTTGATAGCAATTTTTTTAAATTCTCATTATTAGTATAACTAAAAAAATGTATGTGTCCTAATATAAAATTACTACAAAAAAAATTTGTTGATGAGTAAACAAAAAAATTATTTTATCATTGTCATCCTAAAATCATCAAAGAGCTATTAAAATACTAGAGGGACTCCAACTCCCCTAAAATATACTTGGATGCAACATTACTTATTTCATTAATTCTCAGGAAATAAATTTAGGAAAATCAAGAACTTAAGCGGAATGGGATAATTCACCTAAAATTAAAACAATCATTAAAATTATTATCTTTTAAAAAAAAACATTTATTTTCATGGTCTCCAAATTGTGTGACAATGTTTTTACTTACAAAAAAACTTAATTATTGAAATACTATATAGTATATATACTATATAGTGACTGAAAATATAAGTAAATAATAATTTTTTTAGCTTTGATGCTAAGTTGAGAAGATATTAATTTTACCGTGATGTGTTTATTATTATTTTTTTGTATCTGTCATTACTTTTTCTCAGCTTTCACTAATCTGATTTATTTCAACGATACGCTACAAGACCTTAAATTGTACTTATTTAAAGACATTACCATTAAAAATAGAAAAAATGTCCTTATTTCCCTGTAAATGGGGAAAGTTCCCAAATTTTAAAAATTGATAGTTTTGGATATTATTTTTTTTTAAAACTGCCATAAGTTTTTAAACATGAACAAATCAACATAACTTTTTTTCTTAGATACCTTAGATATTTAACTATCATTGGTATATTTTTTGTGAGGTCTGGCCCTTTACCTGCTGACAGGGGGCAACTTTTCCACAAAAATTTAACTTTTTCAGCTGAACTTTTCAAAATGTTCCGGAAATACTGACTCGTTTAAATATATCAAAATATTTTCAAGTACTAAGATGTGTTAGTATTGTTGATCTCTAATTGGCATGATTAATGCAATTTCTTTAAATTAATAACAATATTTAAATTAGTTATCCAATATAATAAAAATTAATAACTTTTCCGGTTTATAATAAAAATGTAATTGTGTTATTAGAATTCTTTGGTTGAGTATCATGTCTTTGGTATTGTATTTCTGTGGAGCAGAAATAATCGTATTATTTAATAATTGGAAAAGCAACACTATGGTTTTGACGTTAGATCTCAATTATAATGTATGGAACATTCCGTTTCCAGCTATTACATTTTGTAGTGATGTTCAGCTTCAACATTTTGATTACAATCTTTTTATGGATGAAGTTTCTAAGAGGTATATATATATATTTTTCCTTATTTTATAAAAAGCATAAATTTGAAAATCAATTTTCAGTGAGTTTAAAGATTCAATAAACACGGTATGTAACGACTATTATAGTGTCAATAAAAATGTATCATTAAAATCTATTAAACCACAAATTTGGAAAAAAATTATACAAGTGAGAAACCATTAATAGAATTTTTTTAAAACTCTTTTTATAAAAATACTATAGGTACTCTAAAATTATTTGTGAATGGAATAATTTATTGACTTCCGTGTATTATTATTTAATATTTTTCCTTTACGCTTACAAGTAAAATTTTGCATTACACAATTTGAACAAAATGATTGATAAATATTAGATAGATTATTTAACTACGCATACGCATATTTTTATACGCAATAATAATACAGATAACTAAAAAAATTATAATTTAATTATGATAGTTGATTCTATGACAGACCATTTTTACTTCTCTGCGCTTGTAACCACTTCTCAAAATATAAATTAAAGAAAAGTTATATTTATAACAAAAATTTATAAGACTTTTATTTTTCCACTTTAATAAAAGCTCTCAACTTACATGAGTATTTACTAAACTTTCTTTTATTTACTAAATTTGAATCTAGTTATAATAAATTTATGATTAAATGTTATACTTTACTTTAAAACTATGGAATAATTTATTATACAGATTTTTATTTTATTTTTAAGAAATTTGCTGTGACATGTGGTCAGCGAATAATTACTATGTACTGGCTAGACGATGAAATACAATCCAGCTGTCAATATTTTCAACCAATTTTTACACAATATGGTCTTTGTTACTCGCTTAATATGATGCCATTTCAGTTGCTATTTCATTCTAAATATTATGAAACGTAATTTTTAATTATTTATTTTAGTAATTATTTAATCATACAAATTTTATAATTATAATTATAATTTTATATTTTTAGATTATCGTTTCCAAACCACACTTTAGCTGACATTATTACAAAGAAAAAAGAAACTTCCTGGTCACCTGATAAAGGCTTCAGTAAAAATGCAATACCGTTCGATACTCCTTGGAGAGTTACAGGGGATACTAACAACGATGCAGTAAGATTGGTTTTCAATTTGAGAAATATTGAAGGTGACAATTATTGTCCTCATACTATGTCTGGTGTTGTGGTTAGTCTGGGTTTATTTATCAATAAGTTTTATTTAATGGTTCATAAAAATTTTCTTTATTTTTAAGTTAATTTTACACAATCCTTCCGATACACCGTCAGGATATCATCCATCTGCGTATTTAGCTAGTAATCATGGACTATCAATATCACTTTCTGTCCTCCACAGACCTACATCGCAGTCACTTGCTAAATGGTCTCCTGAAATGCGGCATTGTTTTTATGAGAACGAGAAAAGACTGAAGTTTTTTAAATTGTATACCTTTCGTAATTGTATATCTGAATGTCAAGCTAATTTAACATTCCGAAAATGTGGATGTGCTGCATTTTACCAGCCAAGAAAGTTGATTAAATTATTTTTGTGTGTTTATAGTGTTTGATGTGTCTCAAAATAAGTGGAGGGACGTCTTCCATTTCTGTTTTACTTCATTATTGCATTTGACGAACAAACCTCATGTTTAAGAATATATGTTAATAAGATATATTAATCAATATTATTTTTATAAATTTAAAGAAAATACAAAAGATACTTAAAAAACTCTATTAAATGTATACTACTATAATATTTTCTATTAATTTCAAGAAATTTAGTCAATATATCAATACGAAATTATAATTTATTTAATAGTTGTGTTTTTCTATTATAAATTTTATAATAGACAAACATCAATATATAAGATAAGTTTTATGTACCAAAAATAAATATCAAGGGTGTTGTATTATTTTGAACAAACTAAAAAAAATAATGGAATATGTAAAAAAAAGTTAGTTGATGCTCCCTTATTTTCTCAATCGACCATTCTGTAGACAGTAGAAGAAATTAAGTATGAGTCAAAATAAAATAAAAAAAATTGTTAATCTATAATAATATTTAATGCTTCTGCTTTAGTTTATAATAATTCATTTAATAGCCAAAGAACTTTAATTCAAAAATATTAAAAGTGTATTAATAATTTGTTTAGGAGATTCTGAAGTCCCTATATGTGGCAGTCAGAATTATCGATGCTATAAATCATCTTTCAATAGTGGCAAGTATATATTATTCAAACATAAAATAGATAATTACTATTCATTACTTGTATAAAATGTCATAATATCATAGATTTTTCAAAATTTCCAGAAGATTTAAGAGTACTAAATTCCAGTGATAAAGATTGTGGATGTTTACCGGATTGTTCTGGGTATAATTATGATTATGATGTAGTGAAATTATATAGAAATTGGAGTACAAGTTTTTCAAATGGTGAACAGTAAGCATATAAATGTTAAAGTTTTTTATAGTATTTAAATAAATATTTATATAACGATCTTAACAACAGCAAAAAAAAAAAAAATTATTTTCAATACTTTTATTTTATGATTATTTTAAATTGTAATAATTTTCTGTTCCTAGTTTTCCAAATGTAGGTATTGCTAATTTATACTATAAATACAATTTGATTCCAGTTGCTCGAAGAAATGCTTTACTACCATTTAATGAGTTGCTCGGTAAGATTATATAAACATAATAAATTACTTGTTACATATTTTTTGTACTCAATTTTAGGTAATATTGGAGGACTACTCGGATTATTTTTAGGATGCAGTTTAATAAGTTTTTTTGAAATTATATATTTTTTTTTAATAAGATTATACTTTGATAAACGCAAACTTAAAAAGGACATTGAAAGTATAAATGTTTCACATGTTTCATTAAAATAGCACAGTGTGTTTTTAAAGTATATACGTAGTAAGATTTAAAGAGATATGTTATTAGATTTAGTAAAATTAGTTCCATACATAGCAAGTATAAACATTTATTATAGAATATCTCGATTAATTATGTAACTTTCAATAATATTTTACAAAAGTTTATAAAAATGAAAATTTTTAATGAAATCTGAATAAAATAAATGTTATAAAGTATATTATTGAGTAATAAGTAGTAATACATGTTTAATCGTGTATTTTTTTTTTAAATTAAGTGTTGAATTTATTGGGTCATACTTATTATGATCATCCTCTTACACAATGAGTTCTAGAGTCTCCAATTGCAAATATAATGCATTGCGTAGCTCAACTAGATAGCTTATTGTTTTTTTATGACATTGCTGTCGTAGTCAAGAGTTGTTTATTATTAATTATGACTATCAATGAATATCCTTTCTGTATTATCAGTTAGTGTATTTATAAATTCACAACAATGTGCCTACTACCATTTATAATAACAATGCTGTGTACCATCTAATATCGATATCATAAAAAATCAATTAGCTGCCTGTATTTGTAATCTCTTGTGTATCATACATAAATATTAACTCAAAAATTAGAAACTTTTAATGTTTATATCTAATAAACTAATAAAGTTATA